GGAAGGAAGGAAGGAAGGAAGGAAGGAAGGAAGGAAGGAAGGAAGGAGGGAAGGAGGGAAGGAAGGAAAGAAAAGAATAAAAACACAAGAGGCTACCTGAAAAAAAAAAATTGGAGATCAAAAAAGAGCTCCTAAAAATTAAAAATTAGCAGAAACGTTTAAAAATCACCACCACCTTTGGAAGGTAAAGATGAAACAATCTCATAGAAAAAAGAGCAAGCAGACAAAGAGATTTAAAAATATCAAAGAAGAGATTGAAAATTAGAGAACCGGCCAGGCACAGTGACTCATGCCTGTAATCCCAGCACTTTGGGAGGCTGAGGTGGGTGGATCACAAGGTCAGGAGTTTGAGACCAGCCTGGCCAATATGGTGAAAGCCTGTCTCTACTAAAAATACAAAAATTAGCCAGGCGTGGTGGCACATGCCTATAGTCCCAGCTACTCGGGAGGCAGAGGCAGGAGAATCACTTGAACCCAGGAGGCAGAGGTTGCAGTGAGCTGAGATCACTCCACTGCACTCCAGCCTGGGCAACACAGCAAGACTCCATCTCAAAAAAAAAAAAAAAAAAAATAGAGAATCAATCTAGAAGACTGAACTATTAATATCCTAGAGGAGTAATCAAGAAAACAGAAGGAAAAAAATAATTCAAGAAAACCTCCTAATGTTTAAGGGCATTATGAGATTAAAGGATAGTTTTCAGATTAAAAGAAGGCTTTGATGTGTGTGTGTGTGTCTGTGTGTGTAATAAGCCCACCTAGCACATATATCTTAGTTCCTTGTTTTGTTTTGTTTTTGAGACAGGGTTTTGTTCTGTCACCCAGGCTGCAGTGCAGTGGCTTCATCCCAGCTCACTGCAACTGCCTCCCTGTCTCAACAGATCCTCCCGCCTCAGCTCCCACCCCCACCAGGACCCCAGTAGCTGGGACCACAGGCATGCGCCACCACACCCAGGTAATTTCTTTTTTTTTTTTTTCAGTAGAGATGGGGTTTCACCATGTTGGCGAGGCTGGTCTCAAACTTGAGATTAAGCCATCTGCCTGCCTCGGCCTCCCAAAGTGTTGGGATTACACGTGTGAGCCACTGTGCCCAAATCATACATCTTAGTTCTAAATACCACTAACACTAAAAGGAGCTACAGTACCCTGGAGAATGGCTGCTTCCAATCTGAAGCAAAAAAAAAAAAAAGCATAGTCAGAGCTTAGAACATCTTACTGTACAATAAATGCAAAAATACTCAAAGACAAAGACAGAGGAACTAGCTTGAGGGGTTTCTCTTGTTAAATCTGAAACAATTTGTTTATCAAAATGAATGACAATAATAAATTATATTTATTTTTAAAATGCGTAAGTTCACAGCAATAATCAGGAAAGAAAGAAAAAAGGTGCTGGAGGGGAATAAAAAGCTCTTCTTTATATATAAAAAAAATCCAGTTAACATACGTTAAAGAAATATAGAATTTTTTAAATCATCATCTTGTAAATCCAATATAATAACCAATTAAAGCAAGAATCCTAAACCTACTGGGTGAAAAGTTGTTAGGAAACAGGACCCACAGTTTACTTATTAATTGCAAAAAGAAAAATATACCATTTCAAAAGACATCTGGTAGTCTTCCCCTTAACCAAATGATCAAATTAGCATAACCTAAGGACAACATGACTTTATAAACCTTCTGATGTCATGCAATGTAAGGTATCACTTATGTCATACTCTTGCCAAAACCATCTAACCTGAATTTAAACATGAAGAAACAACTAGATAAATCCAAAATGCCTCTTTTCTACAAGAGAACTGACCTGGAATCTTCCATGAAAAAAAACAAAGAAAAGCAGACTGTTCTAGATTTAAAGGGACAAAAGAACACAAGCCAATCAATGTTTTCAGGGAGGGAAAAAGACATAAAATATGTTGGGGATAGTTGAGAAAATGTGAGTATAAGTATCAGATTATATTACTGAAAAAAAAGATTATGCCCCAAACTGCAAAATAATATGGAAATAATTAAAAGTTAGTTATTGAAAGACATAAATGTAAATACCAAAATAATTCATTAAAAGAGGTAAAAGTTTCTGCCCCTAGAAATAAGCAATGGTGAAAGGGAAATAGGAAAGGTGATATCTGGCGTTTTTGCAGCAAACACATAGAACAATTATTTGAATCTTTAAAATGTGAGGATGTATAATAAAAAGAGAATATATTATTAATATATACATGAAAGAAAGAGTGCCTTTCAGAATAGTTTATGGCTTGTTCATTATAGGGAAAAAATCATTCTACTAAATTGAACTAACTGGTAAAGCCTAATGAAAGTTAACGTGTAGCACCATGAAGCAGGACATACACACATCTTTTACTACAGGTTTGTATATGATGTGTTCTGGTAATTAAGCAGTTACTAACTAACCAAGAAGAAATCATTTTTTCCCTAGTCCAAATTATCTCATTTTACTCTGGTTCGTCTATGTTACTTTTGAATCGTTTTGGGTTTCTTTTCTTTTTTTGGGGGGGCGTGGGGGTAGAGGCAAAATGTCTCCCCGTATTGCCCAGGCTGGTCTGGAACTCCCGGGTTCAAGTGATCCTCCTGCCTCAGCCTCCCAAAGTGCTGGGATTACAAGCATGAGCCACCACACCTGGCCAAAATTGTTCATCTTTAAAATATTTTAAACACCACTATATCTAATGCTCCTATGGCAATCAATAAACTACTTTAAATTACTTTTTCATCTGTCATATATGCATTTGAGTTACAAAATAGAATGTGAACCACTACATTCACCCAGATTGTCAAAATATAACTGCCTACACTCTTTTCCTTCCACCATATGCACTTAGCCCTTAATTACATGCAATATTAGTATGTTGGTAAGTTCATCAATATTTTCATTCCTGCTCAGCTATTTGTCCTTGATCAACATTACCAATCCTTAATATCATTTATAAAGGGCAATGATTCATTAATAAAAGGCTAAGATTTGATTTCATGTATTATCCTGATAGGCAAATTGTAAGTACAAAAGTCAGGGTAAAGAAGAAAGCAAAACTCATGATTCACAATGATTTATAGTAAATGTTATCTGTCCTTTCAATGATAGAAAAAAAATTCTTATTTAAAACAATAAGAAAGATACCAACTCACCTTTTGGCACTCATCTGTTCTTTCAGCTTACTGTACATTTCCAGCACTGTGTTAAAAAATATATAACATTTTAGCTTTCAAAATGAAATATTTAGAGAGAAGAAAACAATTAAAGCAGGAAAGAGTGTATTACAAATTCATTAGACTTCTGTATCTCGAGTTAGGCTAATATTTTCAAATAAAATGTTAAATACTTCAAGTATTGAAAACATTTTAATTTCCTTCTATACTGAACATCATATACATAATAATATATATTAAATATATATATATGTATATAGCATACACAAGTGTTCTCTCATCCAGGTTGGAGGACAGTGACACAATCATGGTTCACTGCAGCCTCAACCTCCTGGGCTCAAGCAATCTTCTCACCTCAGCCTCCCAAGTAGCTAGAACCACAGGTGTACCACCACAACTGGTTAATTTTATTTTTATTTAATTTTTTTTAGAGACATGGACTCTCTATGTTGCCCAGGCTGTTCTCAAGCTCCTGACCTCAAACAATCCTCCCGCCTCAGCCTCCTAAAGTGCTGGGATTGCAGGCGTGAGTCACCATGCCCAAGCTATATGACTTCTTATATGCTCTCATACTCCTCCTAATCCAAGGAGTAGTTAGGCAATTGTACTGTAATTGATGACTTTATTCCCATAAGATCTTCGAACTCCAAATATCTGAGACAGGTCTCAGTCAATTTAGAAAGTTATTTTGCCAAGGTTAAGGACATGCCCATGACACAGCCTGAGTAAGTTCTGAAAACATGTGCCCAAGGTGGTCAGGGGTACAGTTTGCTTTTATACATTTTAGGGAGACATGAGATATCGATCAATACATGTACATTGACTGATTGTACATTGGTTCAGTCTGGTAATGAGGGACAACTCAGAGGTGGGAGCTTCCAAATTAGAAGTAGGTAAGAGACAAAGGCTACATTCTTTTGAGTCCTTGATCAGCCTTCCACTGAATATACAATTTAGTCTGGCCCAGTGAATCTGTATTTTTACACAAATTAAAAGGGCAAAGGAAGCAATCAGATATACATTTGTCTCAGGTGAGCCTCAGAGGGATGACTTTGAGTTCTGTCTGACCTTTGTCCACAAGGAATTTCCAGAGGGCAAATTGTGAGGGAGTATACAGCTTCTTATCTTTGTAACCATCTTACTCAACAGGAAAATGGGAGGCAGGTTTGCCTGACCCAGTTCACAGCTTGACTTTTTTCTTGGCTTAGTGATTTTGGGGTTCCAAGATTTATTTTCCTTTCACAGATTGCAGGATCTTTCAAAAGCTGAGATTGTGTCATTTCCAAATTTATAGTTCCAATATCTACCATGATGCCTGATACACAAACGCACAATTGTAAGTGGATACTAGGACAGAAAAATGAATACAAGAAGGAAGGCGGTTCTGGATGTGGCCATTAGCAACACAATACTTACATCAACTAAGAGTGGCTGTCCAGCCTTAAAAATAAAGACAGTAGCAGTAACAAACACCTCACCTCTGCTTCCCTTTACTTCTCTATTTAAATAGCCCAGTAGGGGAATAAGTGGAATCTGACTCTTGCTCATTCCATCAGTACCCAATTTTTAAGGTTTATTATCAGACAGGGACAAAACATTCAAACTTAGAGGATATCTTCATGGCTATTACAATGTACCTGATGGTGGCGAAGAGGTATTATTAAACATAACTAAAAGGAAGTAGGTTTCTCAACCTTGAAACTTACCATAATAAGCCAACATTTTATTTACTCAAAGTTATTATGTAAATATACCTGGTCCATTGGAGATTAAACTGAGTAGAATTTCATTGATTCTAAAGAAAAGAAAAAAGAAAAGAAAAGAAAAGAAAAGAAAAGAAAAGAAAAGAAAAGAAAAGAAAAGAAAAGAAAAGCTATTCCCATAAGTCAAAAACAGGCCAGGCACTGTGGCTCACACCTGTAATCCCAGCACTTTGGGAGGCTGGGTTGGGCGGATCACTTGAGGCCAGGAGCTCAAGACCAGCCTGGCCAACAAAGTTAAACCCCATCTCTACTAAAAACACAGAAATCAGTCCGGCATGGTGGCGCATGCTTGTAATCCCAGCTTGCAGTGAACCAAGATTGGGCCACTGCACTCCAGCCTGGCCAACAGAGCGAGACTCTGTCTCGAAAAAATAATAATAATAATAATAATAATAATATAATTTTTTTTGGTCAACAAAATCTGCTGACAGTTTTAACAATATAATTTGTAGTCTAAGCTAAATTAACATTATACAAATATCATATAAAACATCTCATTCTATTCCGCTGGATATAGAGGTTTAGGCTCCTTCCTAAAAAAACAATAACAATAATAAGTTAAAATATGAGACAAAGGATGGATTTAGCTTACTATATTTAAAAAAGTGGCCAGGTGTGGTGGCTCATGCCTATAATCCCAGCACCTTGGGAGGCTGAGGCAAGAGGATTGCGTGAGCCCAGGAGTTCAAGGCTGAAGTGAGCTATGATCATGCCACTGCACTTTAGCTTGGGCAACAGAGTGAGACCCTATCTCTAAAAAAAAATTAAAATAAATAAAAAGAAAAAAAAGTCATATGCCTGCTTCCTTTTGTTTGAATAGAATGCATCCAACTTAAAGAATATTAAAGCCAGGTAAAGAAAATACTGGTTCGTTTCCTCAGAACTTATCTGAAGCCCAAGTAATATTTAGCCCTAACAAAGAGACCAGAAACAGCATTTCTAAAATAAAGGTAGAAAGGCAAGAATGGTGAAAACCTGGCACTTTTGATGTTTTTCTTACCTTACCAGCACAATGAGATTGTGAACAAAGCAAAAAGAGCCTATTAAGTGACAAACAAAAACCAATGGAAAACTAGAGGTAAAAAAAAAAAAATCAGGCAAATTAGGCAAAGGTGAGAAAATTCAACCCAAAGACTCTCCCCATGGGAAAGTATTCTGAGGAAACACAAAAAAGGGGTATGGGAGACAAAGGGCAAAAGAGGCAGAGAGGAAATGGAAATGTAGAAGTTCCTGTTCTAGGAAACTGATGTGACATATAATCAAACAGGAGCTTTCTAACATGACAAAACATGAAAATTCAGAGAATAAAATGAACCTGAAAGATAAGTATGTCTTTGTTGGGATGCAATCATCAAATAATCTGTAATTCCCACACTAAAGAATCACTATTTGCTATTATTAAATTACAATTTTACCAAGCCAAAAATTACATTATAGACAAGTTTAACTCACCTGGAAGGCATAACTGCAATTTTTCTACTACAGTTATAATATTTCTCTGCTGAATTCTACATCGAATAATATCTTCCGTGTGGACTATCACCTTAGAAAAGAAGGAATGTTCGTATTTTTAAACAAACAGTGAAAGAACAACCACATACTGAATACATAGAAAAGCATCATTTTCTCACCTCTTTTCCAGCATCTTGAAACCTTCGGTTGGTATCAGTAACTTGCACCTTAAAAATTTAATTTCACCTTAGTTAGACAAATATGCATAAAACTGCCCTGATGTAACTGCTCACCCTTGTAATCAGATCATGCTTCATGAGAAACTTAGAACAAAGAAATGCAAATTCAAATTAACTCTACAGCTTGAACTTGAACTTTTGATTGAAAAGGGCTTTTGTTAACTTCAATTACTTATGACAGTTCTTTTTAACAGATTCTGTGGCAAACTTCTCAAATTTACTCAGGATTTTTGAACTTTACTTGCTTCTCTAAGTCTGTCAAACAATTCAAATCACTGACCCAATTGACCACTGGTCCCCTTTTGATAACTTCAATGAGGTCTATGTGCCATTCATTGTCTGTAGAAAATGGTGATTGCATTTTATGGTAATTAAACATTCATACTTTGCTGAATGCAAACACTGGGTGGTTGATTAACATCAAACACAGAAATTTCAATCCACAGCAACATTCTAATGCTGCAGGTGCAGGCACAGCTCAACCTCAAATTTTCCCACATATTAAGTGACTCATTAGGTCATCATAGTAAGGAAGCACATTCTGGTTTATTAAAAATCTCATTAATTTCTGAACAAAGATGCTCAGTGACCTCATTGATGCTGTAGTTAGTCTCTTGTTATCTGAATATCCTTTTTACAATGGTTTTCTAATCATAACCTTTGGTGAACCAAGGTCATTTTGTCTGCTAAGTGCTCTAAACGTAAAGAAAGATAAATAGGACAATTCTTACAATTAAGTATTTTTTATCCTGACTGAACAAATCCAGGTCTCTTTTAATAAATAATATTTTAGCTGTAGGGCAGAAAGTATAGACCAACTTTCTTTAAGAAAAATACACACTGCTGTTAAACTTTTCAAAAAGTTTTAACATTATTAAATAATGCTGAGAACATAATTACTTACAGCAAGTTTTTAGAGGATTTTTAGAGGATAACTTTTTATCAATATTATACTAATTGTCATTTTAGAAATTCTAAAACTGAAAATAGTGCCTTTCATTGTATGGCTGTTTTGAGTTCATTTCCCTGCATGGAAAGAAATCCTGTTAAGTCAGCGCATTATTTCCTTCAGAAAAAGATTGCTCCTGTCATTAGCACGACAACTGTGTTAATAGAGCATAAAGAGCATTCCTAAATACATATAGTAATTCACTTCTTGAAAGTAACACACTTAATAATGACTTGTACATTCGAAAAAGAAAAAAAAAGAATGACTTGTACATAAGAACTATAAATGAATACTTGCATAATTTAATGAGAACAAAGGTAAACAATTTTAACATATTTCTTACCTTCAGTTTTTCTGCATCAGTCCTTACTTTAAGGAGTTCTGTAATAGCATCTACAAAACCCTGATGATGAAAATTACACATCTTTTCAATTTCCTTGTCATGATTACGGATACAAGCATCTAACTTTTCCATAAACTTCTTGTGTGCATTTGGTTGGTCATCATACACAGACCTGAATGTATATAAGAAAGCTAAAATTAACCAAAATGTATTCTTTAGTAAGCCTGATCTTCGCAAGAGCTGATATCAAAATTAAATCCCTGAACAAATAAGCTGGTAATAATACTACCTTTAGTAGAAATAATTTGCATGCAAGTTTTTAATTTCTTTTTGAACATGATGATATTAAAAGAGCCACACAAGCCCTCTAGACTATAGCACTAGGTATCTGGAAATAAAGGTATGAGGCTCACGAGATGCGGGCCTAATTCGAGGCTTTAACATAGTGACATTCAAAAAAAAGAATCATTGAGTGAATGAATGATTAATGAATGAATGAACAAACTCACGATTTTTATAGCATTTACTATGTAAAGTAAATGCTCATGTTCTAAATGCTTTACATATTAACTCTTTAATCCTCCCAACAAGCCTATAAAGTAGGTATTGTTATTACCCTTGCTTTACAGAAGAGTTACAGATTACTGAACAGCCATAAATTCCACAACCAGCAAGTGATAGTTGGGGTATGACTCCTGACAGTCTGGCTCCAGAGTTCATATTCTCAGGCAGGAGCCCATATGGCACTACCACAATGTTCTCTCGACATGTCATATTCATTCCAACTGTCTCTCAACTCATGCTGTCTCCACAGAGAGGGCACCCCTCTATTTAACATGCAATAAAGGACTAGCCTTGCCCCTGATTCCTGCGAGGAAAGCCTTTGGCATGCCCTGCCTGATAAGTGTCTTCTTCATTTACTTAAGAGCCTTTGATTGCCAAATAGCAGATGCTAACAGTGTGACTGATGGTGAGGCCTGAGGCCACATAGTTTTAGCTGTGGAGGGACAGGAGGTCAGGAATGTGGGCAGTCAGCCAAGTCTACGTGGGTAGTCAATTATGGCTATGTGACCAAACCCCAATAAAAATCCTGGATACCAAGGCTTGGATGAGCTTCCCTGACTGACAATACTCCACGAGTGTTACCACACATCACTGCTGGTAATAGTAAGTGCTGTCCCCACAATTCCACTGAGAAAAGACAACTGAACGCTCACTCATGGAACTCTCCTACTCCCCATCCTATGTGCCTTTTCTGTTATTGATTTTAATCTGTGTAGTTTTTTTAAATGTTTTTGTTGTTATTCTTTTGCTGTAATGAACAGCAACTATGAGGATAAAAGCTTTGCTGAATTTTGTGTCCTTCTGGCAATTTTTTTAATTTTGAGAGTGGTCTTGGGAACTTTACAAACCTCACCCCCTCATCTGCTGCCCATTGTTTGAGGTTCATTTCAAGTCTCATTTCTTCCAACAGGCCTTTGCCAATCATTCCCATGCCAAGTAATCTTTTCATCTGCAGGACAGGTAAACTTACAACCCCTTACTATTATTCTGACATGTAATCACATATTACTTTGTATTGTAATTTACATGTTTTGTGTTTAAAATATATTTTGTTTCCCCAAATAGACCATAAACTTCTGGAGGGCAGCCTCTGTCTTATGTTTTTAATGAGTACCCTCACTAATACAAGAGATAACAATATAGGATGCCAATTATTAAGAATTTATGCTCTTGGCAGCCAGGGTGCGGTGGCTCACACCTGTAATCCCAGCATTTTGGGAGCTTATGGGGGTGGATCACTTGAGGTCAGGAGTTTGAGACCAGCCTGGCCAACATGGTGAAACTCCATCTCTACTAAAAACACAAAAATTAGCCAGGCCTGGTGGTATGCATCTGCAATCCCAGCTACTTGAGAGGCTGAGGCAGAAAAATCACTTGAATCAGGAGGCAGAGGTTGCAATGAGCAGAGATCATGCCACTGCACTCCAGCCTGGGCAACAGAGTGAGACTTCATCTAAAAAAAGGAAAAAAGAATTTAGGCTCTTGGCATCTATGCTTACATTCTAATGTAGGTCATATATAAGTTCTAATTTTTTTTTTTTAATTTTTAAAAAAGAATTTAGGTTCTGTAAGAGCTGAGTTAGCACTGGGCTCTGATCTTGGACATATTCTCTTTTTTTCTCTTTCTCCATGTCATCCTGACCTGTAGCTTTAAATTCCATAAACATACTGACATCTGCCAAATTTTTCTCTGCCCTGACCTCTCCTCAAACTCATATATCTCTCCAATTAGATGTCTGATAAGCATCTCAAACACGTCCAAAAATGAATTCTTGATCTCCTTCCACAAAACTTTCCCTTCCCATAGTCTTCCTCATCTCAGTAAATTCCACTTTTCTAGTTGCTCAGGCAAAAAACTCATCCCTGGCTATTCTCCTTCTCCAGCAATCCTAACTACAGCTCACTACCTCCCCACTGATATCACCCTGGACTAAGCCAACCAGCATGTCCTGCCTAGATGACTATCAATTCCTTCCTAACTGGTCTCCCTGATTCCATTCTTGTTCTCTTTCAGTCTGTTCTCAACACAGTGGCCAGGCTAATGGTACTGATCCCAGTAAAACCTAAGGCAGATCTCAGGTCTCTCTTCTGCTCAAAACCCAATTTCTTTAACAACAGGCCATAAGACCCTACATAATTTTGCCTCTTGTTACTTTACTGACCTCACTTCCAATTACTTACCCTCCACTTTACTCATTCCATGCCAGCAACACTAGTCTCCTCACGGCTTCGTTAACACACAGGCATATTCCTGTCTACACCATCTGGATAGATTAGATAGATAGGCAGACAGACAGATATATACATACACACACACACCATCCCCTTCCCTGCTTTACTTTATTTTTATTTTTATTTTATTTGAGACAGAGTCTTACTCTGTCGCCCAGGCTGGAGTGCAGTGGTACAATCTCGGATCACTGCAATCTCCTCCTCCCAGGTTCAAGTGATTCACTGCCTCAGCCTCCTGAGTAGCTGGGATTACAGGCATCCACCACCACACCCAGCTAATTTTTATATTTTTAGTAGAGACAGGGGTTTCACCATCTTGGCCAGGCTGGTCTTGAACTCCTGACCTTGTGATCCTAAAGTGCTGGGATTACAGGCATAAGCCACCACACCCAGCTTCTGCTTTATTTTTTAATCTTCTAAAATAAAAGAGTTATCACTATATCATTCTTTCCACTGTAGAATATACTCTCCGTATCACAGTTTTAAGTATTTTCTGTCTTCCCCTATTTAGTTGCATAAGGACACAAGTTTGTGTCTGTTTTGTTTCCTGTTGTATCCCCAGCACTAGAATAGCATCTATCATATAGCAGAAGCTCAATAAATAATTCATTATTAAATGGATGAATTAATAGATGAATGGATGGAATTAGAAAAGGCGCTTACTAGTAATTCAACCTCAGGTAAGCCACCTGGCTTCTGTAAGTATCAGTTTTCACAACCATAAATAGGGATAAAAATAGCACATAAAGCAATGAACAAGAGGAATTTGAAGTTAAACACACAGCACCATTTACATTAGCATCCTCCAAAATGCAATACTTAGATATAAATCTAAAAAATGCACAAGATCAGGCCAGGCATGGTGACTCACACCTGTAATCCCAGCACTTTGGAATGCTGAGGCAGATGGATTGCTTCAGGTTAGGAGTTCAAGACCAGCCTGGCCAACCTGGTGAAACCCCATCTCTACTAAAATACAAAAATTAGCCAAGTAAGGTGGCAGGTGCCTGCAATCCCAGCTACTAAGGAGGTGGAGGCGGGAGAATATTTTGAACCCAGGAGGCAGAGGCTGCAGTGAACTGAGATCATGCCACTGCACTCCAGCCTGGGCGACAGAGTAAGACTCTATCTCAAAAAAAAAAAAAAAAAAAACCCACAAGATCTATACAAGGAAAACTACAAAACTCTATTAAAAAAAAATCAGGGAACTAAATAAATGAAGAACTATTCCATGTTTATGAAGAGGAAGTCAGTATCATTAAGATGTTAGTTCTTCCAAACTTGACTTGTAGATTCAAGGCAATCCCAATCAAAATCCCAGCAAATTATTTTGCAGACACTGATAAACTGATCCTTGGGTTTATGTAGAAAGGCAACAGACCCCAAATAGCTAACACAATATTGAAAAAGAACAAAATTCAGCCAGCCATGGTGGCACATGCCTGTAGTCCCAGGTACTCAGGAGGCTGAGGCGGGAAAATTGCTTGAGCCCAGGAGTTTGAGACTGCAATGAGCCATGATCATGCCACTGCACTCCAACCTGGTGACAGAGTTGGGTGACCCCAACTCTGAGAAAGAAAAAGAACTGAATGGAATATTGACAACACGACCCAAGATTTACTACAAAGTTACAGTCATCAAGATTGCATGGTATTGGCAAAACAATAGACAAACAGATCAATGGAACAGAATAGACAGCCCAGAAATAGACCCACATAAACATAGTCAACTGAATTTTGACAAACAAGCAAAGACAATACAATAGAGAAAAGACAGTCTTCAACAAATGGCGCTAAAACAACTGGAGATCCACATGCAAAGTAATGAAGCTAGACTAGACCTTGAATGATAATGATGTGTCAATGTAGACTCATCAGTTTTTTAAAATGTACTACTGTGGTGAGGGACACTGATACTAGGGAGGCTTTCCATGAGTAGCAAAGGGAATATATGGGAAATCTCTGTACTTCCTCCTAATCTTGCTGGAAACCTAAAATTGCTCTCAAGAAAAATATCTTTAAAATAATAGTATCTACATTAGAATATTAAGAGGATTAAATTAGTAAACATGAAAAATTCTTAAACGATAACTGACACAAGGTAAGTGCTCAACATATACTAACGACTAGTATAGTATGGACATAAGAGACAACCAAATCCTTGTTAAACAAGTGAAACAGTGGCTGAACAACTGAGTACTAGATACAAATATTAAATAAATATGGCCAGCACTCAATTATCACAGCAAAGGATCCAACTACCATTAACACCTAACATTTTTACATGTCCTTTTCCACTTTTTAATTCAATGTTTCATTTATTTTTTATACAATCAGATAAAATATCACTGCCTCTTTTTCACAAATGAGTATAGAA